CATCAAGCTTCAAAAAAACTGTTTTGAGAGAAGGAGAAAAGCGGAGTGAAGACAAATGTGCCCCAGGTGAACTTACTTCAGTCTGAAGTCGTCGGCAGCCAGCCTGGCATTGTCGATCTCCAGAATGACCCGGGAATTGTCAATGGTAGCAGCAAGGATCTGGCAATTAAGAATCACAGAGAAAGGGTCCTGTGAGTAACGGTGAAATATCGGATCCACATTCCCTGAGCAAACCAGAGATACTCTGTGCAACATGGATTAGAACCATAATTAGGAAATACATTTGTACAACCCCTGATCTTATCTGTAGCCAGGAGAATTACCTTTCCAGCTTCTGAGGCCTACCTGTCACATTCTTTACGATTTGATTCCTGAAAAAATATATTGAAAAATCTAAACACATTTTGCCACATTTTGCTGACTTTTAATGTGAACATTTTAATTTCAATGAACACCCCATTGTCACAATAAGATATTTGGTGTTTAAATTGAAAACAAGCTACTCTTTTCTGCCAGAATGCTCATGACCTCAGTGTATTTGGGATTGAGGAATTCAGCATTTCTTTTCTAATTATTTGAGCTTATTTTAAAGAGACGGAATATGCAGTTCCATAATTCTCTTGTGTTCTTATAACTCCTCTACATATGAATGTCTCACCTTGTCTCGGAGATCTTCAATTATCTTGTAATAATTGCTGTAGTCCCGGGCGGGGCTGGTGGGGGCTTGTTTCTGGTACCAGTCTCGGATTTTCACTTCCAAATCTGAGTTGGCCTCTTCCAGGGCCCGCACCTTGTTCAGGTACGAGGCCAGCCGGTCGTTCAGGTTCTGCATGGTGATCTTCTCGTTGCCGGAGAGGAGCCCATCGCCGCCCCCAAAGCCACCGCCGAGGTCAAAGCAAGAGCCCCCTCCAAAGCCAGAGCCCCCTCCAAAGCCAGCCCCTCCTCCAAAGCCAGCCCCTCCACCAAAGCCACAGGCTACCCCCGCCAAAGCCTCCTCCGTAGCCCCCCCGAAGCCGGCGCTCAGGCCCCGCCGTAGCCGCCTCCTGCAGAGGAGACGTACCTGGCCGAGGAGATGGAGACGCCGCGGCCGCCGGAGCCGCCGTGGATGCTCGGGGCACGGAAGGTGCCCCCAGAGCGCACCGAGGACAGGCGGGAGCTGCCCCCGGCGCCCCCAAAGCCGCCCCCGTAGGTGGAGGAAGAGCTCACGAAGGTGGTGGCCATGGCTGGAGCGAGGGAAGGAGCAAAGGGCAGCTGTGCAGCGTGGGCAGAGAGGAGAGGCTGTGCCCTCACTGCCCTGGTGCCTCTTTTATACCCTCACATCTGAAACCCCACTGCAGCCCTCCCTCCAAAATTCCTCCTCCCTGGGGGTGAGGCCAATTATGATGACATTCCTGACAAGCAGCGCTGGCAGCACATCGCAGGGGCTTGGGCTTGGGGTTTCTTTTTTTAATTAAACAAAAGGCATGAATCAGATGAGTGTTTTTTCTTCGGGCTATAGTTCTGAAACTTGGAGTTTACTTCTCTGACATTCAAGAGTGGAAAAACAAAGTGAGTTCAGCCCCACCCCACCTGCCCGTTTACAACACTCACCATGACTACATTCTGAAAATCAACTTGATCTGAAAACTAAGTTAAAGTAAAATTCTCCTTTCATTGAAAAATATACAATCATCACTTCATCTCACTGTTATTTGTCCTTTTCTATCCATGTTTTTCCCTTTAAAATTTTGGAATTGAATTTGAAACGTTCTTATTCTTGATCGTTGCTTGGAACTAATATTTAGATTTTGGAGTCTGAATTTTTAGTACAAAAAGCACCAATTCATGGCATCATGTGAGGAACAATCAGTGTCCATCAGTGTACAAGGGAGAGCAGGCACAGTTAATCTATTAATGCTTGTGAGATAGTCAAGAAGGGTAACACAAGACTGAAATAATTAGAAGAGGAAATGTGGGAGGACTAAGATCCTGTTACTTTGAAAAACTTAAGGAAAATGGGCTTAAGATGAGGAGGTGTGAGCTGCCTGTGTCCCTGCTGGGATGGGGGTGTGGGGACTGTGGCGGGGGGGAGTTTGGAGAGCCCCGTTCTCTGCACACCACGGTGACACTGCTCGGGTGAAGGATGTTGAGATGTTACTGCAGGTGCAGGGATGAGCAGCCTTTTCACTCGGGGATGTGCACTTGGGAGGGAAGAAATGGCTAAGTCCAGCTGTGATGTCCCTTGCCAGGCTGGCTCTGGGCACGGCTGAGCACCAAACAGGGGTGCTCTCAGCTCTGGAAACGTGTTTCAAACCGAACCTGGCCCTTTGCCACAGCCCTTCAGTTTTGCTGCTGGGCAGATTAATGGCTCTGCATACCTTGCCAGATCTGTGTGTCTCCAAGGGTTGGTGGCTCAGGAGACAAGTCCAGACAAATCCTCCCAAAGATAAAAGAAGTCTCTTTGAGACCCCTGTAATGTCAGTGCCCCGAGGTGTGTGTGCTGCCAGGGGCTGTTCAACCCAGTGAGCACACAGTAGGCAAATCAAATTCCGTTAAAAAACCCCAAAAAACAAACAACCAGCAAACAGACCTCTAGAAAACACCACAAACTTCAGCAGGAAACTTTGGGGAATTTTCCTTCAGTCTTCTTTCACTCAGGCTTGATAACTCCTTTGGTAGGTCGCTGGTGAAACACATTTTGCTGCTTTTCAACGTGCCTTGGGCGTCACTCTGGATTGGATCAGATGGACACTTACAAAAGAGGTAGCAGATAAAAGCTGTTTCTTAATATTTACCATTGGGAAACTAAAAATCAATCAAACAGCCAATACAGATCATGTCCTCTAACATTATTCAGACATCCATTTCTACAGCGTTTTCTCCTTACGGTCTGTACAAGGAAGCAGAAACCTGCTGAAGTGAAAAGAAGAGCCCTTTTTCCAGCTTATGCCTTTATTCTGGTCTCACTGTCTTTGCTCTGAGATTCCTTATCCAGTGTCTTGACACACAGACTTGTCCTTTGCACACTCTCAGCGTTGTACCTGTGGTGCACAAACTCCTTGGTTTGTCATCTTCCACGGAGCTTTCCTGAACACATCCCCTGACATGTCTGTGCTGCACAAACCCTTTTGTTACCTCTGCTGTGGGATTAACGGAGCTGACACACTCCAGCCCCTCCTCTCAGGACAGCAAGTTCGAGTCAAGCAGCAGCTTGTTTGTCATCTCAGTGATAACTCTATGACTGATAGACCCATCACTCAGAGAAGAACCTGACATACCTTTACAAAACTTTTTTTTTTTCCTGAGCCAGGTTCTAAAATTATAGTGTCTGTGTATTTTATATTAAACATTTCACCAGAAATCCTTCATTGCTCTGCAGATATGGGACAAAATCAATACAACTATAAAATAAAATTAGGCTATAAAACCAAGAATTCAGGATTCTTATAGTTTGCATTCCTGGAGTGAAAAGAATTTCTTGTCAGACATTCACATTTGCAGCTGGACAACACCAGAAATCTGCACCAGTGACCTCACACCCCGACTGGTTTTGTCTCAAGAACTTCCTCTCAGGGAATGGGATTTGTTAAGATTAAAAACCAAACCTGGAGTTGTTTGTCCTGTCTCCTGAGGGGGTTTCCAGGTCTGATTGTTGTAGGGAGTAAGTTTGGTACAAAAATGTGCATTAGCAAATGTGTCAGCCCTCAGGAACTGCCTGTGCTGAACCATTGAAAGCTGCTTCTCCTGGCTCTTCCAAAGCAAACCCCACAGAAATGGGTGAGCTCCTGAAGAACCCCCTGCTCCCCATGGGCTTTTCAGGCCACTGCTCCCTTCAGTTCTGCCCCTGTTTCCCCCTGTTCTCCCCATCTTGTCCCTTTCTCTGTGTCCCTTTGCTGGTTCTTACTTTTCATCACTGTTTTTGTCTCCTGTCACAGTTTTTCCCAGTCACAGTGAAGCCACTGCCCAAAGCCACCGTGCCTCATTCCAGAGGCAGAGCTGGCATTGCCGGTGTCAGTGCTGACAGCTGATCTTGACAGGTCACCTGAGTCACTGCTGAGCCAAAACCAGGCACCAGCACCTTGGGACTGCAGAGGGTTGTCCTGCATCGAGGGAGCAGGTCCAGAGCTTTGGGGTGCTCTGAGCCACGAGAACACTCCATTAATCTGGTGTGAACAAGGGCTCATGAACACTTCTCAAGGCCAAGGAGAGAAGTGCTGAAGGATCTGGTGATGTGTCCCTGAATCACAGGCTGCACTCTGATCCACTCTGGGGGAGAGCAGTGTTGGGATGCTTCCAGTCTGGGCACATCCCTGTTCCCACTCCCCCTCAACTGGGGAGCCTCTGGTGACAGCAGGAGCTGGGAAGGTGCTGGTTGGGCTGGAGCCATGGGTTGCTTTTAGCACAAGCCCTGAAAAGTTTCCTCAGCTGCCAGCTTGGAGAGGGGTGGTAGGAAATGAAATAATTGATTTCTGGGGCTGGAAAAGTGATTCCATTTGAAATTTCAGCTGGGATAATACACCTTCAACAGCATGAGAGAGAAGGGGGCTGAAACTGGTGCTAAAGGTTGGTAACCTCTGTGTGAACTGGGGGAGGAAGTGAAGAATTCTCCCATCTGCTGCTCACCCTGTTTGTTCCTGTAGGAGTTTCCTGCGACCCAGTTTAACAGCTTTATGTTTTACTCTAATGAAACGTCTCCCAGCTCCTGCTGCTCTCTGGAATCACTTCCCATCCCAGTGCCCCTGCTCTGCAGAGTGCTCAGTGGTGTGGTTAAAAACCCAATTCACTCTTGTGTGCCCCACTGAGGGGCTGGGGATGCTGTTGCCTCCTTATTCTGAGCTCCTGCCAGCAAGAGGAGACAGAAGGAATCAGGATGGAGCCCAAGCCACCCCCACACTGTGAGCACTCCCCTCTCGGGGAGGCTGCCTGGCTAATTCCTGCCTGAGTAAAGCCAAACTGCACTGAAATATCACAGTAACTCCAAAGAAGCGAAGATTGCAAGAAGATCATCTTTATTTGAGTAGATGCAGCAATTCAGTACATGCAAGACCTAGAAATAATTGCAAAGCTGACTCTATTTGCAACTGAATCACCATTTGGTGAGTGTAGCTGCCGAAACTTTGTGTGCCCAAGAACTTTCTGTGCTTTAAAAGTCGTTTCCAGCGGTTCAGAGTGATTCCTCTCCGTCTCAATCCCCGTGTGCTGTCTCTTTTCTCACTTTGCAGATGACCTTTGGAGGATCCTCACTGCTGTTTCCCCTCTCCCCGCTTGTCCCTTTTGTCTGCAATAAATGGAGAGAAGGAACAGCAGTTATTTAAGCCCAGCTCACACGAGCCCACTCTGTGACAGGCACTGAGCTTGGCTTGGGCCTCGTCTCTCATTCCCTTCTCTCACAACTTTTCCTCTCCATCTCCTGGATTTGACTCATCCCTTTTAAGATACTGCTGACCTCTAACAGCTCAAGGCAGGTTTTAGTGGCGTGTTCCTGCAATTCCCCTGAGCTGGCCAAGCTTCAATTCCCCTGTCCTTTCATCTGGGGAAATGATTAAGTGTTTTGTGCTTTACTTTGCCTTTACTGTAGCAGAGTCTGGGATTTTTTTTCCTCATGTCTGACATCTTTTAATGGCTGAAATTTGTTCAATTCTAGCCAGAGACATCATTTGTTACTTATTAGATTTTTTTCTGTGGCAAATCAATGCAGACTCCTCTCTAGAAAGGACCAAACTACCAGAGTTATGTGTATTTCCTTTTATAAAATAAAACTTCTCCTGAGAGAGCAAGGATTCTTACCAGGAGTTCCTGAAAGGGAGCCAAACATCCTGTGGAACAAAGAGAGAACAGTTGAACAAGGAGTTAACACATGAAATGCTGTGTGAGAGCAAATTCTCTGTCAGTCAGGTACATTGTGGTGGTCAGAGCAGGGATACCCATCTCCCTGTGCTCCTTCTCAGCCAGGGAGAGGGAGTTGTTGTAAGAAACATACTTTTAAACAACTGCATTGGGAAAAGACAATTATGGAAAAGGAGGAATAGAGGAAATCAAAACCTTTCCACCCCTGTCTCATTTTTTCCCTCCTGGAGGCTGTGTGGGATGACAGAGAGCTGTGCTCCCATGTGGGGTGACTCAGGGGCTGAGCAGGCCCAGCCTCGCTGCCTTCTCTTCACAGTATTTCCTTCCACACTGATTCCTGAGGGGTAAAAGCTCTCTGCCTGGCAACAGGAAGTTTATAGCAATTTGTTCTTAATTTTTATACCCTGTAAAACATTATTAACTGCACTTTTCCTGACTGTGAAGCAGCTGATCACTCTAACTGTTAAGTTACACTTAATCTCCTGTGTTTTCTTCCCCTTTAGAAACTCTCTGAGGTCTCATCTCATGTAAATGGGAGCTGTAACATTTCTACTTCCACCAGGGTCCAGAGCAATTAATCTGTTACAAACTGTAGACCCCCGGGAGTGTTGGCAGGTGTGTTTACTGAGGTGCTGTGGCAAGTGAGCACCACGGCAGGGTCAGACAGAAGGTTCTTACTGGGACTCCTGGCCTTCCAGCAGCTGTCTGTAAGTGGCGATCTCTTGCTCCAGCCGAGTCTTGATATCCATGAGGATCTTGTACTCGGTGTTCTGGCGCTCCATCTCAGCTCGGAGCTCTGCCAGCTGTGCCTCCATGCTGCCAACCAGCCCCTGGATCTGCGCCAGCTGCGCCCCGTAACGCGCTTCCGTGTCGGCCAAGGTGCTTTCCAGCGCCGCTTTCTGCCAGGGGGAACCACAGAGGGGCTGGTGCCACGTACAGGACCCTCCACGGGGAGGGCAGTACGGACCCATTTCGGGGGGGGGTCAGGCAGTGCAGAACTGGACGTACCATGCTGAGCTGGGACTGCAGCTCGATCTCCAGCCCTTGCAGGCTGCGCCTCAGGTCAGTGACCTCAGACTTGCTGCTCTGCAGTTGTTCGGTGTTAATGGCCACCTCCCGGTTCAGCTCCTCGGTCTGAGACAGGGAAAACAGCACGTGAGAAGGATGGGCAGTGTAGGGCTGTCACAGCAGCTTTCTGTGCCTTTTAGCACTTGTTTCTTTCATGGGTTTTTTGGTCAGTATTTGCACAGTATGGAGGGGGTTTACCTTGCTGTGGAACCAGGCCTCAGCATCCTTCCTGTTCTTTTCAGCCATTTGTTCATACTGGTCTCTCATATCCGCCAGGATCTTGGACAGGTCAATGCCTGGAGCAGAGTCCAGTTCAACACTGACCTGGCCGGCTACTTGTCCTCTCAGGGCACTCATCTCCTGTGGGATGACAGAGGAGACAAAAGAGGGCACGATCATCACTGAAAACATTATGAACCTCCCGTTCTTTCTTCAAGGGCTAAGGCTGACTGACTGCCCTGAAGTACTGGCGGGGGGTCCCAGCCCACATGGAAATCTTTTCCTCACCGCTGGAGGCCCCAGGGCAATCCTGAGGGACTCCACATCTCCACAGGCTGTTTCTATAGTGCCGCTTTCAAACACGTTTCCTGGGTTTTACCTCCTCGTGGTTCTTCCTCAGATAAGCCAGCTCCTCCTTCAGGTTCTCGATCTGCAGCTCCAGGTCGGCTCTGGCCAGGGTCAGCTCGTCCAGGACGCGGCGCAGGCCGTTGATGTCGGCCTCCACGCTCTGGCGAAGCCCCTGCTCGGTTTCAAACCTTCAGAAGGCAAAACAAGCCCGTTCAGGTTCGCTGATTAACCAACCCACAAGAAACACATTATTTTATATGAGAGTGTTTGAGTTTGTAGGATTTATGTGGTGCAGATGGTGCTTTCAGCAAATACATGAAGGGCTGAGCTGCACAGACAGGATCAAACCAGTGTTCACACGGGGGTTTTATGGCCATTCTGTTCTTGTTTCGTTGCCCTTTGGCTCAACAGGGGGTTTTGCCTGCTCACGAGACCTTTCCCCTCTCCAAAATGACTCACTTGGTTTTGAAGTCATCAGCAGCCAGCCTGGCGTTGTCAATCTGCAGCACAATCCTGGCATTGTCGATGGTGGCATCAAGGATCTGCAAACAAAGGGAGCTCATTGCTGAGGCTGAAACAAGTGTTCTCTGCCTCCCTGCTCTGCGGATAAGAGTGAAGACTCTATTTCATCTGTAGCTACTGCAAACAGAGGTGTAGGGAAGAGTCAATGATTTGCAGCAAACACATTGCACAGATTTGTCTCAGACTTCTGCCAGGATTGGCAGCTTGGTACGTGTCCTTGTGTCTGGTGTGTGAAGTGGCTTTACGTAGAAAAACCACTTCTCTCAAGCCTCTCTCCACTGTGAGACAAAACTATGGGCTGGCTTAGGGGGAAAGGACTTAGAGGTAACATCTTGGAACATATTTTTATTTCCTAGAACACCCAGGATAGTGTTTATTTATTCTTTTAATGCATCATGAAAGCCTCTAAAGGAAATGTTTATTTAGGAGGGATCCCTGTTCAGTTTTACCTGGAAAGCACATCATTGCCTGCCACTTCTAAAACTCAGAAACACAAAAACAGCTGGAGCAACATTTTCCCTCTCTTAATGAAGGGGAGTGAAAGAAAGGTGGGAAAAGAACACTGAAGGAAAAAAGTCTCATTGCCAGTTCTGCCTTCAGCAGAGCTCAGATTCTAAATCAGGAGCGAGGGTGGATGGGTTGCAGGAGGAGCAGGAACCTGCATGGGAGTGGTCATGAACTCCAGGCTGAACTCCGAAAACTAAACCTCAAGTTTTCTTTGATTTATTTACATAGTTTAATCAGCGACTGCCTGTGTTTTGCAGGGTGTGTATCACCTCAGCAATCTGTTATCAGGCACCCATGGGCTCTTGGGGCAAATCCTGCATTTATATATGGCATTGATTACTTCGTGTCTGCTGCTTCCTTCTTCACTATGCCAAATGTTTTAGTGCTTTTATCTCCATTCCAAGGTGAAGTAGGGGGAAGATGAAAGAGAAATTGTCCTTAGCCCATTTTTATTCTCATTGTTAAAGCAATATGATGGGGCCTCTAAGGATTTTCAAACCTTCTGGCAGGTGAGAGGTACAGAGACAAGCAGGTTGCTGTCACTGCTTGGTTCTCTTTATATATCAATTTATATATGGTGATATGTACATTAACTGGTCATAAGTGTGTACATGACCAGCATGTGTGTATGTACATGTGTGTGTACAGAGAGTTAAGTACTCAGACATCCCACACTGACTGGTTTGTGCCTTCTCCTGGCTAACATCTAAAAAGCAGATAATTCCCTGCTGACATTTTCTTTATCCCCCGCCCATTCCTTGCACATCCATCTCACCTCCCTGCAAGGCCCTCTGGGGGCTCCCTTGGGAAGGTTTGCTCTTTGGGTTTTCACGCCGTGCTTCTTAAGAGCAAATCAAAGATGGATTTTGGTAAATATTAACACCTACCTTGTCTCGAAGGTCCTCAATAGTCTTGAAATAAGAGCTGTAGTCCCGAGTTGGGCTTGGCCCTTGTTTTTGGTACCAGGTTCGGATTTTAGTTTCGAGGTCAGCGTTGGAGTCCTCCAGGGCGCGCACCTTCTCCAGGTAGGACGCCAGGCGGTCGTTCAGGCCTTGCATGGTCGCCTTTTCGTTTCCTGAGAGGAGCCCGTCGCCGCCCCCATAGCTGAAGCTGCTGCTAAAGCTGCCTCCGTAGCCTCCCCCCAGGCCGCTTCCCAGGCCCGAGGAGACAAACCTGGCCGAGGACACGGACACGCCCCTGCCCCCGGAGCCCCCGTGGATGCTGGGGGCCCTGAAGCTGCCGCCGAACCGCAGCGAGGAGCCGACAGGGCCCCCCACCACAGAAGAGCTGGTTTGCCTGAAGCTGTAACTGGCCATGGCGAGGAAAACCAAGGACCTTGGAAAACCAAGCTGCACTCACAGGTTCCTGATCCCGAGGCAGGAGTGTGCCCTGCTCCCCCACCTCACTGCTTTTAAGCCGGTGATTAGGGGAGTTGTCTCCAGAAGGTGTTATCTGAGACCCGTGGAATTTATCAGCCCTAAGCCCTCTGCCAACACGGCAATTCCCTTATTGGTCAGTGGCTGTGGAGTGGGCTGATTCCTTCCCAAACACCTCCACACACAGGAGGCGATTCCTCCCCCTGACCACCGCCTCTTGAAGCAAAAGGTGGGATTTGGAGGAGGCGTCTCCGTGCCGAGGGGAGCGTTCCTACACCTGGTCAGAGTTTACCTGCATGGAAACAAAGGGCTGGGAGTGCACGGCCCCGCTGAGCGCCACGATCAGAGGGCCTCACACAAAGACCTTCTTGTGTAATCTCAGGAAAGAGTTTTAACAGAGTGATTCAACCTGATAACAGAACTTGAAAGGAGCCGAGCTGGTGTGGACATGGACAAAACCTGTTCCTACCCCTCTGTGTTCCTCATTTCCCTTGAGACAGGTTTTTCTTTCAGAAGTGACATTTTCTCTGTTTTTTTCTTTGCTCTCCATTCAGTTTGGGCTGACAGAGAACCTGCTGCATCTGAGAGTCTGGTTTTCTGCAGAAAATCCTTCTGCAGAATCCTTCTGAAGCAGCCATGGCTGCATTTGTAGCAAAGAGAAGCATTAACAACTCTGAGTACCTGGGGAGTGAGGAGAAACAAGTGCCTGATTATACACTGAGTCCTTTGATTGCTGCTCAAAGAGAGAAGTGATGAGAAGAAACAGAATCACTTAGTCTTCTGGTCTTTGAAAGTCATGAAAATGTTATTTCTAAAATTTTCAAGTCTTCTGTTATGCAAGATGGATTTTCAAAAGCTTTTGCTACTGCAAGCTCCTCCCTAAGCATCCCTAACACACGAGGGGATACTCACAGCTTTCCTTCCACTCTCCTTCCTTCTCACTCCCTTCAAAGTTCTGGAGCTCCCCAGAAGTGCTTTGGAGACAGAGGGAGTGCTGTCCTGGCAGTGTTTGCAGCTCTCAGGAGCAGCCAGGCCTTCCTATGCCCATGAAAAATGCTCCAGGTATTTCAGGCCACACAATAGAGCTGCACTCTCTGTGTACAGAGGTGTCAAACTGTGGGGCAGCTTCAGGGAGGGGAAGAACAAACAGCACACGGGAAGAACAAACAGCACCTGTATCACCTCTATCAGGAACCATGCAGTGACTCAGGGATGCAATAAATCACTGGATACACACAGGATGTGTGCCACACTTCAGCCCTGGACATTGAGCTGAGTTCTTTCCTCTCTGTAGAGAGCTCTCCACCTGCACAGTGAAGCTGTGCAGCCTCTCCTCAGAGCCACAGGGCCACTGCTGCTGCCAGAGAAACTACGTCCTTCCTCCTGGAGACCTGAATGTCCTGTTCAACCCCGGGTGGGACAAACCTGCCTGACCAGTAACTGTTCCAAGGGCTGTGAACAGGTGAATGGTGGTGTCAGGAGGCTGCAGTCTGCCTGCAGACAGAGAGAAAGCTGCAGGAGAACAGTTATTTTATCACTAAATACTCAAGTCCATAGTTAGAGCATAAAGAACATCAGTCCATGTGCTTTTCTGCACTGAAGTGCAAGAAGCTGAAAGGAGAACAAATCCCAGTGTGTCCTTTTTGGTGTTTGTCTCCTGCTGCAAGGAGAAAGGAATGTCCTTCCCCTTAGGTACTCCTTCAGCATTCCCTGGACTCCCACGTCAGGACCTCAAAGCAGTGTATTTTTGGGTTTTGCAAAATGAAATGTACATCTGTTCTATGATCCAACTCATGAAAATGTGGATCTGGAAGGCCTCTGCACTCCCTCTGCAAGCCTTGAGTAAAAGCAGCCATCACCATGTGTCACACTGGCAGAATATTGATCAGGTACTGCAGGCACGGTGGGTTGGCATCGGCTGGCAGGGAAGAATCTCCCAAAGAATGAACTGCAGTTCTTCATGGCAGTTTGGAAGTACAGCTGAAAATGTCAGGAGAGGAAAGGCTTGGGATACACTGTCAGATGGATTAATCTGATTTGTACCACCAAATAAACTTCTAGTACCAAATCAGTCCCTCACACAGCATTTGTGCTAAAACTGAATTTTAAGTTTCCAGAAAGGTTTTGGTTTTTTCTTTTAACTTCCATCTCTGTTTTACCTCAATGGCTGCATGTGTTTGTTTTTGTAGGGACTCCTTTAAGGTGAGAACATGTACTTAAATGCTTGGAAAAGCCTTTAGTATGGCCAGTGAAAGAATGTGCTTTTAGCATTCAGCATAGGTCTCATTTTCTCCCAGTACCATAAACCTAATTTATTGTAGGGTCAGCTTTTGCCCTGTAAGGAATGGTCAGCACAGGGATTTTCCTTTATCTGCACCTTATCAGAGGGGAAGGGAGACACATTTTTTCAAGCAAAGTCATCCAGTCACACCCAAGCTCCTGGCTGGAACTGGGTTCTGCTTTACTTTTATGAGCTCTGCCTTACCAGTCCCTGCTGCTTTATAAAATCATTATTGTTGTTTCAGGGTAGTTTTATTAACTGTAAACTCTTTTTTCTTGCCCTTGAGTGACTCTGGCACATCCTTCTCTCTTCTCACATCCTGCTGTATTTGCTGCCAGGAGTTGCTAATGCAATTCCAGTTAAATGAACTTGCTGGACATTTTAACCAGCTTTGTTGGTGGCTGCAATTCCAGTGATGCTTCTGTGGATGAATGAGCAATGTAGAGTTATTATTCTGAATCTACCTTTTAAATTTTTAACTGTTTGTTCCTTCTGGTAATTATTCCTTTCTGCCTCTGCTTCCATCAGTGATAATGTGATGCCTTTTCACATCCACATTTTTAGTCTCCATCTCTTCTCTTGCTCATCCAAACTTTGGCTGCCCCTCCCAACCAATTGTGCCACAGACCCTCTTAAGATCCCAACTTGGGATGTTTTTCTTCCCTTTTGAAGACCACAGGCATGAAACATTTGCAGCTCTTTAATTCAAGCACAAAATTCCATATTTTTTTCTTTAAACTTCCTCGTGAGAGGAACCAATGACAACAGGCTCTGATCTGCAGCTGGTAGCAAGGTAACTGTGGTGAATGTCTGCCCAGAATACATTTCTCACCTGTCTGGCTTTTATAGCCCATCATTAATCTCTTTCCTTAATCCTCACAAACCTGGCATTGCCATATAGTCCCCAAATGTGCCAACAGATTCAGAGACAAGGATGTTTCTGTGCTGAAGGGGCAGGTCCCAGCACGTGCAGGGACGGCTGGGAGCGGTTGGGGAAGGGGAGGGAAGAGCAGAGCAACAGTGGGAACTTGCTCAAAATTACTATTTTTGCAAAGTAGAGGGAATGTGGTGAAGGGGAATGCATGTGGGAATGCACAATTTCTGCACTGAAAGAGGTGAGAAATAAGGTCATGAAAGGGTTCTGTGTTAACAGAAATGAGGAGAGTAAGACACAGGGCAAACCATTCCTGTCCAGGGCTCTGGGTCGTTCCCGGCAGAAGAGAGACGATGGATCAATGATTTGAGCTGAACTGGAACCATTCCTGCCCAGGCTCCTGCAGAGCTACAGAATTTAATTTCTCAGTGGTTGCCATTTATAGAATATTTTAATAGATTAGTATGAGGAAAATAGTAAAAGATCCTGAAGAACTCAAGCACTTCAGTAATTGCGAGCAGTGTGAATACTTGGCAAATCCTTGAAACTGGCTGTGGTGTGGAAAAGCCTCATTATTGTCCCTGTTACCCTAGAAACATAAACAACTTCAAAGTCTTTATCAGTCCAGAACTCTAATGATAAAGCACAGAAAGGACTAAAGTACCTGAGACAGGAAAATAAAACAGATTTTCTTACTGTGTGATTAAAGACTGTGTGGGAAGGAAGGCTCAGTTGGGCACCAAGCCCTGAGGAGTGAAAGACAACTCACTGGATGTACTTTTACACTTCCTTTAACCTGTTATCTGGCTGGTAAATCTCAGCAAGGTATGATGGGGCTGGAAACTATTATTTAAGAGCCAAGCATCCAAGGGCCAGGAGGACGTGTTCCAGAAGTCAGGTTTGTGCAGGCAGCGGCGGAGGCAGCGCAGAGGCTCTGCCAAACCCCGGCAAACTGAGCCTGTCCCGGGCTGGGGGAGCTCTGGGTGTTGGACTCTGGCCACGTCAGTGCAGTCACAGTGAGGGAGGAGGCCTGGAACTATCACAGGGATCTTCCCATAGGCCACGTGGAAAATTCCTACTCAAAAATGCATCCCAGATTTGGGAGAAACAGAGAGTAGATGGGGTGCGTAGCAGAACTGAGCTGCTTTATTCTGTAAAACATTTGTATGTGTGTTATTTCTATCTATGTGCTCATATATTTATGTCTACACACACATATTTGTACTCACAGAATTATAGATTATTATTTCTCTCTCTAATTTCATAAGAATATATTCTGATCATGGGGATAAACCACGGCTTCCAGTAAGGGCTGAGATTTTACTGTGCAAGCCTTAAACACATGTTCTGGATTTGAAAACAAGGAGCTCTCTTAGTACCCTCCTGATGGATCCTTGGATTTGGGCTTTCCCAATCCTACAGGCGGTTTCATACTCGGTTTTGCTTGAGAGGAATTCTTGGAGTCTCCAGATCTCTCTTGGGCTCAGTGAGAAAGTCCAGCTGTTGCTCTGCGAGGGCCAGTCCTGGAGCCTCCGGTTTGGGAGCTGCTGCCAGGGAAGTGTTTGTAAACACGTGGTTCTCATGGCAACTCTCAGCCCACAGAAAGCCCTTGGGAGCCCTGGCTCTGGCTGCCCTGGCTGGCCACACACCTTTGGGGGAGGAGAAGGGGATTTCTGGCTACTCTTAACACTTTGTGCCACTTTCAACCAGGAGCATTTTCCCCGTGTACCAGGCAGGTCCCTCCCCAGGCTGTTACCTTAACTGGGAGCTGTGGTTTTCCACCAGCTTCTGACACCCCAATTCAGCTTTAAATATCTTCCTTTTATTAAAAACCGAGGTCTGTGCCAGTTGTCTGTATTTTGGGCAGCCCAAGGCCACCAAAGCAAGTGACTGGAATGTGCCTTTTCACTCTTTCCAAATGGATTCAGCTTTAATAACGTAAGAACTGGTGAAATGATTTCTAACATTTCCAACAGACAGGAGCAGTTGGCATTTGTTTAAAATCTCTGTGTGCGTGT